TTGGCAGTTTTCTGTGTAAAGATTGAAAAATTGTGTTATGTTCTATTTGTAATTCATCTGTGCTTTACTGAATACGAGTTTCCTAACAGGTTCGCTTTAGAGCTTGCTAAAACCTTTTCAGGTTCACACCCTGAAAGTAGACAAGATTAGAAATTAAAATTAATATATTCACAAATGAATTATATTGCTTGCAAGATAACGGGTTTCGATAGGTTTTCAGAGGCCTTAAAGTGCTCTACATTTGAATGGAAAATTGTAAATGTTCTGGAAATGAGTGAATGGTATTCTTATACATAGCTAATAGGGTAGAAATACCAACCTTAACTAAATTCGTTACATACTATTAGATCCCTCTATTGTACAGTTTTGTACTCATGCCGTCGCTGAACTGGTGAAGATATATATATATATGAAAGCGTTCGTGTGTGTGTGTAAAAAGATATACAGTCAAATACCTACACAAATGTGTGTGTGTATATATTACAGAGATATGTTTTATTTAAATAATTTGTGAGTTATATGTTATCTCTTATCAGGTATCGAACTTAACTGACGGAGTCTGATACTTATATTGAATATATGTATGATATAATATTACAGTAAAACTAATAATCTAAAACACGTCATTCTTAGCTGATCCAAAACAAGTTTCAAGGAAGAAAAATGTGTTGAAACGCCATTTCAACTAAAACTTTTTATGTTTTAAATCATCCGGCATGAAGAGCTTGAACAAAATGTCTCGTCGGAGGGACTAGTACAAGTAACAAGGTTTGGTTGAAATACCGTTGTACGCTATTTTGGTGCCAGTGGAACAAATAGTTAATAAAAATAAAGAAAATACACAAACAACAGACAGTTGGTAGATTAGAAATACAGATGTGTATGATAGAATCATAACTAAATAGCTATATACATACACAGGTTCAAATATAGATAAGTAGATAGACAAGCACACAATTTTATCACAGCACTCAGTAAACGAATAGCAGCAATTCAAGGACGAGAAATGAAAGCGTTCTTCTAACCTTGGCCTCTAGCAGAAACGTAAATATATTTAGTTGATACGTTAGTTTCAGAGTCCAGCGCTAGGTTGAAGGACCGATACGAGTATTGAAAGATAACAGAATCGCCAGTCTCATAAGGAAAAAAGAAAAAACCTCATAGGCCAATCACAAATAAGACAGGAATTCCTATGGTTACGGTGAAAATGTAATAATTCGTTAAATTCGAATTATTCACAAGTTTTTTTTTAGTTTCATTTGCTTCTACGAATTATGATTAATAAACGTCGGTTACTTAACGTTTCTTTAAAATACTTCTAAAAATAGGACTACTCATAAACATTTATGATTTGTTTTCATCAGTTTTAGGTAAAGAGCTAACTGATTCTCATAGTTTTGTAATGCGTGCCTGTTATTACAAGAAAACTCAAGAGGCTTTAAAACTAACGTGCATATCTATTGTTGCATTATAACTCACACAATAAGTTAGTTGAAATTTATGAAGACATACAAGATCATTGGAATGTGATTACATGTAAAATTTCAAGTGAGTAGGCGTATAGGTTCCTTATATAAATACATATAAGCCCACAGAAAGTAAGTAGACGTATAGGTTCCTCATGTAAATACATATAAGCCCACAGAAAGTAAGTAGACGTATAGGTTCCTCATGTAAATACATATAAGCCCACAGAAAGTAAGTAGACGTATAGGTTCCTTATGTAAATACATATAAGCCCACAGAAAGTAAGTAGACGTATAGGTTCCTCATGTAAATACATATAAGCCCACAGAAAGTAAGTAGACGTATAGGTTCCTTATGTAAATACATATAAGCCCACAGAAAGTAAGTAGACGTATAAGTTCCTCATGTAAATACATATAAGCCCACAGAAAGTAAGTAGACGTATAGGTTCCTTATATAAATACATATAAGCCCACAGAAAGTAAGTAGACGTATAGGTTCCTTATATAAATACATATAAGCCCACAGAAGTGTAACTAAGTCTTTGATCATTGGCGTTTGAATAGTTCTGTAGGTCTATTGAAAGAAAAAAATATTAATTCGACATAAATCATCGTAGGGAGCATAGTTCCTTTAATATACTGAAATAACCTTCGATCTACCGAAATGTAAGTACGATGAGGTACGAATAGTTTCAGTTTTTATTTGCTCCTCTCTTTCCGTGCAACACTCATTCTTATAATGTGTTTTTGTGTACTTCAATTCCACACAGGTGTGTTGGTTTGAAAGAGCAGACTTCTCAGAGGATCTTTGAGAAAACAACTTTCCACATGACTCAAGAATGCTTCTCGTAATTTCTTACTGCATTAGAACTATATGTGAAGAAAAGTGAAATCAAGGTTTGTATGTGTATATGTGTGTGTGTGTGTGTGTGTGACGTACATTTTCTAAACAAACATGCATAACACACGTATTAATCTATCTGTTGGCTTTTCTTGATTAACCAGGGTTAAAGATTATATGTGTTACAAAAGAATTGTCGAACATGTAAGTTTATTTACTCTGCAATAAACAATTCTTACGCATCTTTGTGGTTTGTTATACTGACTGTTCAATGTACTCCCTTCTTATTAAGACATTAATGGCGAAATAGTGCAGACTTTCTGTCACTTACTCTTTGTGTTTAGTAAGCTTACTGAATCGAAACACATTAGAAGCTGTCCATAGCATACTTAATTTGACAATTTGAACGTTAATCAATTTCATTTATTTATTTTCTGCTTAAATCTCAAAGCAGTAACAGTAAAATATACACCAAATCCATAACAAAATAACTGTTAATTGCATAGCACTCTCACTTTATGACATGTTTTCATGATTATAACACACCGTTCAGACCACACATTTTGTTTGTTTAAACATTATAAAGTTAATGTCAGTGACAGGGGTAAACTGATACAGACCTAACTTTTAGTTTAAAGCAAGTATAGGCGTTAAAAAGTGGCCATTATGGAGATATTAGCCATAAACAACAATCCTATTTTATATCAAAAATTCACTTTTTTTAAGGAATCCTGTTTCACAGAACAGTAAAAGTAGGTGAGAATGTACAGCATGATATTATTACGTGCGCTTGACAAATAAGAAGACTAATAAAACATTTATTTAATTTTTGGTTGAATAGAAAACGAAAACACAAAAAAATTCCAATTAAGTAACAACATAACATAACACCTTGACTAGCTCAGAACTTCTGCCTCACACCTTCATAACACCACTACAGAAAGTTAGCAAAGGTGGTCTGGGGTGTAGACACAAGATCATTTATGGAGCAGCTCAACCATTTCTTTAATTAAATAAACGACACAGAAAATACCAGTTTATATTTACTTGCAGTGGTTACGAAAGTTTCATATAATTTACCTAGCTTAGCTATTGATGCTTTAAAATGAGGTTTTCTAACAAAAATTGCTGGTTAATGTGCAGATTTTGTCTCCATGGGTGGTGGAGAAAATAGCTGCATGTAATTCATCCATACATTTATATCGTATGTTGCAAGACAGTTTTTATCACACCAAAGAAGATAAACTACAGTGCAGGTGAAAGATTTCATTCTTAACGTACAACATTCTTTGTTTGGTGGCGAATGTGAATCAGAAAGAACCAAACACTTATTTAAACCTTATTACTATATATTGTCACGGTAATCAAACAAGTCTATTACAACACTTTCCTTATTCAAGATCTCGTGAACGACCACAGGAACGGCGTCCGGTATAATACCCAGTAGTTAAAGGTCTTAAAGTTATAATTTCTTACATCAAATACATTTAATTCCAAATTAAGTTATTTCTAACTTTTATGAACTTAACTGACATTTAAACTTGGACTTGGTGTTCTTCAGGAAAATTCCTGTCACGTCTAGAATGGTTGATATCATCAATGAGACGTTGCCTAAGTGATGAAGCTAAAAAATGCTCAAGTTTCTGTTGCACAAAACTGAACGGCTTATAAACCGGCCTCTCCTGAAGTAAGGTCGGGACATCAGGGCGGACTCTCGGTAATCGGTCAGGGACGTTATGTACAGCTCTCCTCAGACTAGCTGAGAGCGCGTCAGCACGAGACGGGTGTTACCGGAACCCTTCACTCAGTTTCATCATTTCCAATCAAGTCAAGCTTCTTCGCTTATATCAGTCGTGCTTATTAGGATAAGACGGCACTCTGCTTCTGTATCGTTTATGCATTATAAATGGAATATGGACATATATATAGCAAATTTTAAGTTAAAGTTCTGAAAGCATTATTAGCAACTTACTTTATAACAGTAAATGCCAGTTTTGGAACTTAACGTGTTATCTCTAGTCTTAGACCGTTAAACAAACAATCAACGACTCAGCTCCCCTCTCATTCATAGAGATGAAATATTGCTTTGGAGAAAGTCCCGTGACTGCTGCATATCTGACTGTGAGATATTCATTATGAAATGTTTTTTAATATTTTAATCAACAACTTTGACAGCAAGTTGGATTGATGTGCATTTCTAAAAAAAACCTTTGATCGTGAAGTTTTTATTTATTAGGTAGATTTTTTTAAACCGAACTACATACTTCTTAGAAATCTGATGTTATGAGATCATCTGGTTGATCAGGAACCAGGTACACTCCCAACTGTTCAAAATCTCGCTCCTTTATGTTAGTAATGTCCCAGCCGCCATCTTCCATCCTATGGTTCTGTAAAATAAAGTGACGATTTTTAAAGAGAAACCAGTGTTTCTATTAATTGTTTGAAACAACATTTGAAGAAGCTTTGAATAGTAAAAAAATCATAATACATTTTACTTTTTAGACCGACAAAATTCTTTTTGGCAGACCTCAGCACTATTCAACCTAGCCTTATTGGAGCTTATTAGTCTCACTTCCTTAGCTGCCGGTTAATGCATGTTTTACTTTGACGCCAAGAAAAATTCCTTACCTGCCAACTTAACAATAATCATTAAGAATTTTCGTTAATGTGACGAGGACTGTTCAAATAAGGCTGAGACAAGTCTCCCTCGAAACTTGGCTCTTAAGCCTTCCCAGATGCTTACCGACGTAAGTATTTGTTAGTTTAGCTACATGAAAATAAACTTGGATATATCATATCACGACGAGTTTTATATGTCAGAATATTATTTACAATTGACTAATATCATGTGAGCGAAACAAATACTTACGTTTGTTTATAGTTAAGTACAAAGTTACACAAAGGGCTATCTGTACCACTGGTATCGAAACCCGGTTTCTAGCGTTGTAAGTCCGTAGACATACCGCTATACCACTGGGGAGCCAAACATTTATGAAATCAGTTATTTTATTACGTTCAATGATACCGGTGTACGTTGTTTAATGAATAATATATTATTATTTATACAATGATGTTTCGAACGACATGGAATATTTTTTTTTACTGAATTATAGTTTACAGATGTTATAATAACTGCACATTCCATATTTTCGCAGCTTTCGTTACGTTTGTGCTATCTGGGGGTGACATATATTTGGTTTGGTTTGTTTTGAATTTCGCGCAAAGCTACATGAGGGCTATCTGCGCTAGCTGTCCCTAATTTATCAGCGAAATACTAAAGGGAAGGCAGCTAGTCATCACCACCCACCGCCAACCCTTGGGCTACTATTTTACCAACGATTACTGGAATTGACTGCACTTTATAACGACCCCACGGCTGAAAGGGCGAGCATGTTTGGTGGGACGGGGATTCGAACCCGCGACCCGCAGATTGCGAGTCGAGTGCCCTAACCACCTGGCCACGCCAGGTCCTATGTGACATATATTTAATGATGCAACACACACAGAAATTAAACTCAATTTAGTGCAAACGTCTTTTGTTACCTTCATACCAAGTCGATTTACACGTAGTTGTAGCTTCGTTGCTAGTTTTACACATAAAAAATACATTCCAGTGTGATAAATATTTTGAACCCCTGTATTTCCGAGGTACTTTAATTTCATGGCCCCCCAGTGGCACAGCGGTATGTCTGTGGACTTCCGCTAGAAACCGGGTTTCGATACCCGTAGTGGGCAAATCACAGACATCCCTTTGTGTAGCTTTGTGCTTAATAACAAACAACAACTCGCTTTTAAGTAACAGTAATTTCGCCCCCCATCAGTGGCACAGTGGCATGTCTGCGGATTTATAACACTATAAACCGGGTTTTGATACCCGTAGTGGGCAGAGCACAGATAGCTTATTATGTAGCTTTGTGCTTAACTACAAACAAACAAAAACAACTTTAATTTTAATCCCCACTCAGGCTATTATCCATTCATGCCTCGCGTTCAATTCCACACTGATTAAGAAAATTATTTCTACAGATTTGAGCCACATATGGTCTAAAAAATAATAATTCTCTGAATTTTCATCCCAAACTGACTAATATATATATATATATATATTTAAATTTCAGTCCCATTCTGACTGACAAAATTATTTTTATAGATTTGCTTCCCACACTGACTACAAACAAATTCTTTAGATTTCAGTCCCATTCAGACTGACAAAATTATTTTTATAGATGATTTTTTCTAGATTTTGAATCACTTATTGATTAGCAAATTCATTTCTCTAGATCTGATTTGTACAACTTCAGCCAACTGCGTAACTCCCGGAACGACTGCGTCGTAAAAATTTGGAATTCCCTTCGAGATTTCATAAATTGTTCGTCAAGCTTTAATTAGTTAACCTTTACTCTTTATGAGGATTGCATATAAAAAGTGGTAAAAATTTGCTCAAAGTTCTGTTAGTCCAGACATTCGTTACACGAGCCACACTGACACAGTTATACGATAAACATCCACATGGGCCTAGTGTCAATGACATTTGTCTCAAGTGCAGAGCAAAGCGATATAAGTTTCAAGGCTAAGCTAAGAGTTTGGTGTGTTTGTTTTTTACATGTTATGAAATGAAGGAAATTGAAGTAAACTGTGATCTTGAACAGGTGACAAAGTTCAGGGATTTTCGTGCGTTCAACTTTCGCTACCATATAAACCTTGATAATAATTTATCCACGTGCTCTGATAACGCTTCTCAAGAGCGGGGTTTCTACGAAAAGGTTATGGTTGTGCAAGAGGGAAGGGGAGATAAAGATGAAAGGTAGTACTATCAATTAATCCACTTAAAAAAGTAAGGCCTTGCATTGAAAGTGTAAGTAAGTAGCATTATACATAAATTATCATTAATTTCTGATCAAAGGAAAGATACCTACGTAGATCAAAACTAAAAATTAACCCAGTAATGAATATAATTAATTTGATATATCGTTCTATACTTCTAATGACAAGAATGCATTGATTAATCAGTATGGTACCCCTTGTTGTTAGCTATACTTTCGGCCATAAACCCAATAATATATCACGAAGTTCAGCCAGCTAAAAATATTTTGGTTAGTCCTAAATCCAATATAAATAATAAATTTATAATAAATATATATGTTACAGACTTGAACCGAAAATGTTAATGAAAATAAAAGTAAATAAAAATAGGATATAAATCACTTAGAGAACATATAAAAACGAATTGTTTGTTTCATGCAGTGTTACTGATTCCCTGTCTATAACAACATTATATGGAAAACTTTATATCTTTCTCCCTGATAACGTCTGATCGCCAATGAAAGCCCATTAAACGACTCCTACAGTGTAGCATTAAAGAAGTTGAGAAAATTTGTTAATGTTTTCAATTAAGCTCCCTGAAGTTCAGAACAAAACATAAACATATTGCTCCCCAAGAAACCGGGTTTCGATACCCGTGGTGGGCAGAGCACAGATAGCCCTTGTGTAGCTTTGTGCTTAATTAGAAACAAACAAGATAAACCTATTAGGTGAAACTAGCAGGTTTACAAATAACATAAGTACCAGAATCAAGCCAATATATAAACCACAGTTTCAACATCTTCTTTCCTTGCCTTGACACAGCAAACAAACAAGATAAACCTATTAGGTGAAACTAACAGGTTTACAAATAACATAAGTACCAGAATCAAGCCAATATATAAACCACAGTTTCAACATCTTCTTTCCTTGCCTTGACACAGCAAACAAACAAGATAAACCTATTAGGTGAAACTAACAGGTTTACAAATAACATAAGTACCAGAAGCAAGCCAATATATAAACCACAGTTTCAACATCATGTTTCCTTGCCTTGACACAGCAAACAAACAAATGAAAAACACCATCCCTGTTTAAGACTTCGAAAAGTGTGAGATAATCGCAGCCATTGGCTAAAGCCGGGCTAGGGTTAGTTTCACCTAATAGGTTTATCTTGTTTGTTTGCTGTGTCAAGGCAAGGAAAGAAGATGTTGAAACTGTGGTTTATATATTGGCTTTCTTTTGGTACTTATGTTTTTTTTAAACCTGTTAGGTTCACCTAATTGGTTTATCTGCTTTGTTTGCTGTGTCAAGGC